CTCGCCTGAAAACGCTTCTGCTCAATGTTAGTCCTGGAGCATAACCTATTCCGTGGAATTTTTCGTGTATGAAAGAAATGACTTCACGTGGATATCGTCGAGATACGGTAGTCATTGATGTAGTTCCGGGTGTTTTCCTCAAAGAAATTGGTTAGATCCAAGATATAGCCGCCGCGGATGGCATGGCTATATAAAATCCAGTATATTTCATCCCAGAGTGCTCATACGGAAAAAATGCAGTCGATATATTTCTTTCAGAGTGAACAAAGGAAGAAAACAGTTCTTAAGCAATTTTCCGATATCTGAATCGGTTTAGAAGTAATAGGCCCCCAAACTTTAAAACAAAAGTTTTCAACAGAAACAGAAAGTTGTCCTTACCTATCAGAGCTCATGAGTAATTATCAGTCTCTGGATAAATACCCACCTATAACGCAGTCCATGTCCATACAGTGTCCGTTCGATATATCCCCCCTCCTCCTGACTTCAAAACCGTTTTGAACTATGTCATCTATTTAGTTTGTTTGATGAAACCAGTTGGCTTTTCTATGTTGCACGGTTCATGAGTTTACAGAGGAGGATACTTTCAACGGACTCATATTTTGGAGGTATAGGTATTTATTAGTAAAAAAACAGCTCGAAAATTATTTCTTCGATTTCTAAACATGTATTGAACACATTGATCATCTCATAAAAGAATGGTGTCGCATGGAGTCAATCGGTGGAACTCACGAAGAAGAGGAAAACTAATCCTACCCATCAAAATGGATAGGATATATACATACATGGAAAGAAGTCGTAAAACATTTGGGGCTCAGGACCAAAAACTTCATTGGAATAAACACAAGAAGGACGTAATCAACAGGGCCAGAGAAGCTTGAATGATATGCTGAAATATCGCAAGAAAAAGCTGTGGATGTACCCCTAGGACTCCAAGATGGATGTACACAGTAATAGCGTTGGTTGATATAATACGCTTACGCTTATCAATCAACGGTAATTGTGAGACTTACATCCATATATGGAGCGGTGGAAACGTGTCTCACTGCCGCAATGTAGGTAATTGTAGACTTCACTCCTCTATATCTAGTTGTGGAGAATGCGGCAAATATAACGACATACAAAATGATTAGATAAGGAGTGATCAAAGGCAGGCCAATCTATCTACTCAATCAGCAAATCCAGAAATCACCTCAGGATGAGATGAAGAAGAAGTATATAGCGTTGTGAAACAATTTACCACGAGGCTGAGCTGCATGAAATGATGAAACAGTAAATCCATAGGTTTTGAGCTATATGAAGAATCCTTAAAATGGTACACATATGGCCCTAAAACCGAAGATGGAACTGGACTAGGAGTTTACGGGCCTCGTACAAAGTACTTCGAAGACCTTGGCAAACTCCCAAGTATATTCTAGGCGGGAGTTCACACTCACGGAAATGTATAGAGTTGAATCTAAAACAAATCTATATGGAAGACATGATGATGATATCTTCATCATCATGTCTGATAGTCAAGCAGCCATCAAAGCGCTGAGCTCTATGTTCATCAGCTATAAAATGGTTTGGGAATGCTGGGCAAAGAGGAAACGAGGTATAGCCCACAGAAATACAGTCACCCTTCTATATGGGTTCCGGGAAATCCCGAAATAAAGTAGCGGACAAACTCGCTAGGAAAAGAACTCGAACTCAATTAGAAAAGAAAAAGCTCAACTGAGCAGATCAGACATCTAGGAAAATCATCAAGGTCTCAGGCAAGCTATATACACTATACAGTCTGTCCAAGATAACGTTGAACAGCATGGGGATCTCGAAAACGGTAAGAGATACGAAATCGGTTAAATGGGGAAAAAGTTGCACATTCGGAGGCTCATATCAAGAGCCTTCGAAAATTTTGAAAATTATTTTTAGTTTTTGAGTTATCTCGAAAAAAGTGAATTTTTGGAATTTCTATTTTATTTTTTTTCTCCGTTATTATTAGAGATACAGCAAAACTGAGAATACTTTTTCATAGCAACTTTTGATGACGGTCAACGTGGTGATACCGATTTTTCCATGCGACGTTTCGTATTCGTGGAACCATCATCAACTTTTGTTTTTTAAAAACGGTCCTGATAATTTTTTCACAGATTCTAAAAGGTTTTTTTTATTTTGAATTCAACCATGTATTATACAAGGTGGTTCATTTGTGTTTCGACCTATTTCTATCCATCATCAATGTTTTTTCGAACTTCAAAAAGAAAAAAGCCATCAGTTCCACTTATTTCTGATCATTTAGTGTCAAACTTGATGGATTAGTTATTCAATACTGAAAAGTCTCTATCTCCTACCGTTTCCGAGATCCCCATGCTGTTCAACCTTATCTTGGACAGACTGTATAGGTATACTACACGAACGCATGTCAGCGTGAATAAAGTGAAAATTCGTTTTTCTACAACCGACACAAATGTCTTCCATTTCAATACCAGAATTAGCTGTTGAATTGACGTTTCTATCAGTGACACGAACATCGGTATGTTGCTTGCTAACACATTTAGTTCCTAGGAGCTGACGTTGAACTTGGTTTGGTTTGGGTTGGAACGAATTTGCTCCCGATTTTGGCAGAATTGGCATTTCATATCAATGCTGGAGATATGAATACACTATATTATAGTTAAGTATTTTTGTTTTGATCAGGAAAACCTTCAAGATTCACATACTTGCTTGATCTTCATTTCACTCATTCTCGGGATCTGATTGATTGGATAAATTGTTTATGAATAATGACGGCCAGCAATACTTTTTTGTCTCACACAACGATATTGTTTACATTTAGTTGATTACCGAGCCAAACACAATAGAATATAGAAGGAATGAATAATCGCTATTATTATTGTTGATATGCTCACTAACCTAACATTTTCCACTTCTTTTTCCTATACCTGGCACTTGCTATTAGGGCTGATACCTGATCCAAATGAATTCATCGATTGATTCAATAGAATACACGAATGAGTCACTCTGTGGTTGTATTTGTTATATTGAAACTACAATTCAAACATCCTTGAAAATTGAATTGAACTGATCTGTAAATGCAGGTACATTTCGAGTATAGTATTGAATTCGTGCCTGTAGTATCTGTTGATGCATGTCAACACAAATTGTAACAAAGTATAGTCATCGTCCACCAATATTCTAATGTAAAGTAATCTGAGGTCTTGCTTCTATCTTCTTAGCTATATCATTATCATGAAGGTATTATAATAATCTGTCAAGTAAGTCACATTGGTGATTACTTCACATATTTATTTTACTCAATTCTTTCGGGTGCAGAGAAAATAGCATGTTCCGTTCGAATCAAAAGTGACTTTGTTTGACTCGCAAATGTTGCTTTGGCCCGGCTTCGCTATAGACGCTACCGTCGCAAATGCAAAATTCGCTGGTCACAAACAAAGTTTCACTTTTGATCCTAATAAAACAATCTACTATCACTAACGGGAGTCCTAACAGGGTACTACCGGTTGAAATTAAATCTTAGGAAGCTTGATGAAAGATGAAGTGGTAATGATAAACTGTCATTCATTTCGATTAATTCCATCAAATAATTAAAAAAAAAGAAAAACTTTTTAGGAAAATTCGGTTTTTTCAAAACGGCATATTGTTAGGCATAAATTCGCGCAACTTTGCCATCATATTTTAACCGACCCTGTATCTCTTTCGGTTAACGAGATCCCAATGATGATGTTCGAATTCCAGCCACCCTGGTACAGTAACTTGAAAGCAATAAAAGCAAGTATACGAATATCATTTGAAATCTAATATCACTTTTCATATTGTAAAAAATAACTTGAGTCACATGCATCGCATTACTTCAATCAAGAATTCAATTGAGAATTTGTCAATGTGACGTCATAAATTGCGAGAGAGAAATACCTCACATGCGCATTGACATACCTTGTATCTGTGTATTTCCTACCCTGAAACATGATGTATGATTTTTCAAAATGAGAACTTTCAATCCCAACAAACTAACATAATATATGTATATATAGGTACGCAATTCCATCATCTTTTTATAATTTCAATGGCGCAATACGGGTCCAGAAATAATCTTCTATATGTACAGTGTGTATACACGTCAATGAAGCTATTTGAAATCTATTCAAATTCAATATGGGGTGACTTGACTGTTGGGCTATAACGCATTCATTCATGGGTTAAAATTCTCAAGAAATACTATCGGCAATTTTTTCTTAAAAACTAACGACGTGCATGGATTTTCGAATAGAATCAATCAAAACACACCGATTTTCAACACTTGCAATTAAACTGTTGCCGAAATACGTATTAAAGCATTTCCAAATATCATTGAGGTATTTTCGGAATATTTTGTAATTGTACAAATTTAGTAATACCGTTTCCACAAAAGTTCAAAAGGAGTTTTTTTTTGTTCATGATGCACTGATAAACAGTAACCCTAGGGAAGAGTTCAAGAAACACAATTGATGAAAAACAAAACAGTATAGCGCTGTTTTACGGCCTCGGAAAAACAGGAGAATTATTGTCATGTCAAACAATGCCAAAAAATAAGGTATACCAAATTCCATCAGAATCAAATGGAAAATTTTGAAATCGACTCTCGGTATAGGCTATAGAATAGCACAATTTTCCAATGTGTATGAGACCAACTCAAAATCATCTCTAACGTTTGATATCCTGATGGATTGGGGGACACTTGGAGCTATCGACTTCTATACACTCGACAATTTTTCAATTCAATCAGTTCTTTAACCGTTTTCAATCTGCCTGTATAGATAGTGAAAAATTTAAAGTTGAAAGGTGTCTTCCTATATAGCAATAAAAGAAGATTATGTACATACATGTACATATTATCACATCACACTTCTTCTTGAGAAAGAAGTAGTTGGTATTATATATATATTTACTTCAATCCGTTGATAGTGATAGCGATGGCATGGAATCAGATATAAAGCGATATGAGCAGAATAGAGATATACACTCACCTATCACCCATCACTGATAACGTTATACTTATTCACTCGCGTATGTCTGGATATGTAATGATATTAATATAATGTTCTACCTTATTCATTTCTCACCTGCGCGCATGCACAGAGCCATCTTGCAATGCAAACAACAAGATGGATGCCAATCAGGACTCATCTACGAATATCGGAAAGAATATCGATGAATCCAGAATAACTGATTCCTCTCTTTTTCCTATATCATGGCAGGGGATTCCTTATTAAATATTATTTTAATAAGTATTATCTATTGTGTCCTTAACCTCCGAATAATATCAAAGATACTGTATCAGGTATAATAAAATTTATCTTGTCAACATTATAATCACAACCCCAAAGAACAAACTCAACTTATCAGTTTAGATATAATAACAGATGCAAATCACGTTATGTGCTGGTATAGTTCCTGTTTACGGATTTTTTATCTTCAAGTCAAGAGAGTTCCCAGCTCTGACTACTGATGCATCAATTTTCCTGGTAGACATCTTATTTTTAAATGATCTATTCCGAATTTCGATGTTTCGACCGGATATAATTTCGTATATACGATTTACTGTTGCTCCTTTAAGGTTGTACATGGGGTCAAGTAAGTCAAGTTACAACCATACATGCCTGAGAGACCTTTCGTTAAGTCTCGGTTACCATCAGTTAGGTATACCAACTGCCAACTGTGCGTAAGTATATATGATTTCATTTTAAAACATTTTTTTGTGAATTATCTTATACTTATGTCTCATACATTTCATTTATTGCATGATAGGTATTTCAGGCAAGAGCAGATACTATTGGTCAAAACATGTTAGTATGAAATATTATCTGAGAAGAATCAGTTTTAATTTTATGAAAATTACTTTGATTAAATATTTTGACGATAGATAGGTATACTTTACAAGTCTTTGATTTTTTGGTGAGGTGTCTTCTGAACCTATCAGAGTTGATCCAATTATGGAATTCGGAGAAGATATTGGTTTCTCAGATCTGAGATTGAATCACACTTATACAGGGTGTCCCATAATAAGCCTGCCAAACACCAGCGGCTTCTACAAACAAATCGATTTGAAAATATCGTTGCATCTCACATGATAAACATTGTGATAAAGTTGCCAATAGGAAGACCTACTCCGATTTCTTCAGCATTTTTTTTTATAGCTTCATTATATGTGTGACGTGACATTATTTTGTAATGTAGTCCCATCCTGTACTATACGATCCTGAATGAAATTTTGGAATGATTTTATTTTCAGTGCATTGCAGGGTATAGAACTTTTAGTTCTTTTACCGAATGACATAATTTTATCATATTCAGAAAATATAATCTTCAGCCATTTTTCGACTTAAATTTATTGGAACTTTTCTTCCTATATTATTCCGTTCAACCGTAATATTTTTCGACAGTTCATTTTCTAAAAAGTTATATACATACTTAGTTTGTGAAGATATATAGATTCTGATCATTCTGACATACCTACTATCAAACAAGTTATTGATTTCAGTTATATTGGGGGAGATATACAAAAAAGCGAATTTATCAATTTTTATCTATACAATCATTTCGTCGTATCCTAGGTATATATACCTATTTGATATTTTTTCATAATATATGGTGAAGTCATGACATGATTTATCAGTCTGTTGAATTTCGAAGGCGATATAGCTTCACTATTTGTGAAAAAAAAACTTGGAAAATATAAGGTGTTTGTGAGATTGTGATGTTAATACAATGACGAGTATAATGCTTCATTGGATTCGGAGTGCAACAGATGATGTATATACATATTTTCTTTCACTTTGGGGAAAAGAGTGATGAGAATTCAAACATCTGAGGCGATCCATCTAACATCTTCCTATCCATGTTGAGAATGTTCGGTTCATGTTTTTCAATGATCTTTTCTAGAAGTTAAAGAAATGGGGCGGGTGTATTATAATTCTATTGCATGGGATATTGTGCTAAATTGGGTGTGTCACCATATTCAATACATTTCGTGCGTTATCAGTTATTACCATCTCACGCCATCTTGAGAATATAAATCATTGTGAAATTGATAATACCTATAACGGTATATATCCCATATGTATATATATCTGTATTATGTGATACATGGATATCTGAATGTATTCAGTATATAGGTATATATTCCTCGCATTTCGTCTATATCTATACACGAATGATTTAAGATATTGCTTTTCTACCAAACTCGGGAACGTGATGCTCAATTAACTCATTTCAAATTTTTTTTTGTTGTTGTTTCAAATTGAAGGAACTTCAAAATGATGCTACTTTGCATGCTTGGACATCAGTGTAGTGTCTTTGATGGTATGGCAGAGTCGCCAATTATAGACGTTTAATTGGGATAGCAATTATATATTTAACTTCTGGGTATCTCTATTTCATTATTATTATTATTGTTATTATTATTAATATTATCAATATTTTTCGCAATTTTTTGTTCTTCAACATGTATTGAAAACACAAATGATACAGCTTTGTCATTGTTATTCAAAAACATGGGATTGGGATAGGTACGTATATTTTCATTTGTAATGTTAACATAATATAGGCTAGTTATGCAAGGAACATGTAATTAGGTATCACTACCTGTTTGTTTCTAATAAATAAATAAAAATAAAATAAAATAATATAACTTCATTGGATTTGGAGTGCAACTGATGATGTATATATTTTCCTTCAATTTGGGGAAAAGAGTGATGAGGATGTTCGGTACATGTTTTCCAATGATCTTTTCCTAGAAGTTGAAGAAATGGGGTGGGTGTATATGATTCGATTGGTGTGCAAATGCTAAATTGGGTGTGTCACCATATTTAATACATTTCGTGCGTCATTATCAGTTATCACCATCTTACCCCATCTTGAGAATATAAATTATTGTGAAATTGATAATACCTATACATGTATGTACATTACATCTGAAAGTAACAACATTTTGTCTGCAGACCGAGAGCGGCTGATGAGACCTGGTGGGTCGAAACAGTACTGTCTCGCTCCTGCTGACAATTGGGGCAACTCTGTTCATCCTAGATCTCTTAGTTAGCAGTAACAACATTTGAAGTATTCCTGATTTTGAAACAATTCAGAAGGCCGAGTAAGAGAGAGAGAAGTAAATATTTCACGGGAACGTTATATATTGAACATGCAAATTCAGGGTGAGTCATTACTATTGGGACTTCGAGGCTATAACGGCGCGGATTGTTTGGACCAAAATATTGCGATAGGACCAATGTCACATGTCTTTATAAAATATAGCTATATAAAATTAATAGTATAAAATTAGGTACTTCCCAGGGACGTCCCTGATTTTATATTGAAATATCCCAAGGATATCCTTTGCGGGACAAAGTACACAGTAGGGACGTCCCACGGACATCCTTTGGATGTCCTTCTGGTACGTCTCTGGGATGTACCAAGTACGAAGAAAGGTTATCCCTAGGACGTCCCAAGGATATTCCAGGGACATCCCTTCAACAAAAGAAAAAATGTAGGTCGAGTAGGGATTGAACCCGGGACCTTTAGCTCATCACTTTAAATCATTTATTTGTCATCATAGTTTTTACATCACTTCGCAAATTACAAACACATATAGATATGAAAAAACATAAAACAGAACTCCTTCTGTGTGCTGTGTCCTCCGCGTGGAGCAGAGGTGGCTGATGTTGGCCAAGGAATGTGAGTGTATATGCGAGGTGTTAGTCACAGAGGCGTATCTCCTAGGGCCGAGCCCTTTATATAGGTAATCTCATCGAGGTCACCCAGGGGGGTGGGGGAGTTGATCAATCGCTCTCAGTGGTGAATAGGTTCTTCTTTGTGATGGAGGAAAATCAAAATTGGAAAAACAAAAACCTCCTTCTGATTTGTCTCGGCCAGACCTACCCACACCCTGCACCCGACTCTGGCTGTGAGGCCAGTCATCAGGCCCAGGAGCGTCCGCATGTCTGACCGAGTTCAGTGTCAGTTTGTCACTCCTTGAGTGGCATTGACACTGTTTTTTTTTGGGGGGGGGGGGGGGGGTTTGTGCAGTCCGGGCCCTCCTCAGAGCCCTGTAGATGTTGTTGGGCTGTGGGGGGGGGGGTCCCGACTATAGATTATCTGACTCCTCAAAAACATCGGTTGATGCATATATCAGCCCATGTTTTTTGCGGATGTTGTGATGCCTTCTCGTTGTGGTCATATTCCGGGTAAGGTCACTTGCAGCGATGTGGTGTTTGTAGAATTTATTGGAAATTTTCCGGATATAGTCACTGACTGTAGGCAAATTACCACATCTCTCGTGGAGATCTGCCACCCGTGAGTATCTATCACCGTTGGTGATAATACGGAGTACTTTGTTCTGCAGCACCTGCAACCTATTCATATGGGTAGGTCGGATGCTGCAGAACACCGGACACGCATATGTCATTACAGGCCTGATGATTTGCTTGTATACCAGGACCTTGTTCTCCAACGAGAGAGGGGAGGTCTCAGGTCCTGGATATCAAGGGGTACATTTTCTTGATGGCATTTTGTGTCTTTTGGATCAGGTAGTTAGTGTTTTTCCAGAATGACATACGGGTGTCCAACTTGACTCCCAGGTATTTCACGGGGGTGATGTCTCTCACCTCAACCCCTTTGACGGTCAAAGGTCTGCTCAACGTAGAGTTATTAACTTTTCGGTGGAAATTGATAACTTCCGTTTTCGCACCGTTGATGCGGATCTTCGACTCGTCAAAATACGGTATGATTCCCCTGTCCAGATGAATCTGGATCTGTGCCCTGGCGATATTCGAATCGTCCGAGTGGGCATATATAGCCGTGTCGTCGGCATACAATGCCGTACTCGTCCGCTCGAATACAGGGAAATCATGCGTGTATAGGGTATACAACAGAGGTGAGAGGCATGACCCCTGCGGAACACCTGCCTCGAGTGGAAAATCTCCCGATATACTTTCGTTGAACTTAACCCGGATTTTCCTGTCGGTGATATATGCATCAATAAGCTTAATGATAAATATCGGCATTCTAGCCTTGTACAACTTGGACATT